TGCGTCGGATGCCAGAACCAGCCGACATCGACAGGCCAGGGCCCTGCGAACATGCAACATTTCGGTGGAAGAGGGGTAGGGCAAGGTCGGGTCGCGATTGACATCCAGTGGATCGTTCAACCTCGAACGATCACGGCTCTCTGACAGGGCAGATTGTTCGCTCTCGGCCGATTCTGGGCCACTGGCGGCGTTCACCCTTGAACTAAAGGGACCTTGGGACATACAAATAAATACACACAAATAACAGCATTCCCTATTTTTTCCCATAGTTTATGGTATTTGGTCTTCCCCACCACTTCCCATACTTTCCCAATAATTTCTGGGGAACCGACGAGTAATTCTGCCTGTGTGCTTTTTCCCTCCCGCTTCACCTTTGAACGCCCGCCCTGGGGTCACCGCCGCCGAGGCAGCGCGGCACGAGCCCTGCCGTTCGTCGGGAAGGGGAGCAGCGACGACAGGCCGTCGCGGCCGCCCGGCTGCTCGACACGCCGCGGCAGCGACGAGCGGCTCGCTCCGCACACGCGCACGCCCTGGGCAGGGCACGTCCTCGCCCCTCCCAGCACGAGCTCTTCGTCGCATGCGCTGGCCCCGTGTCCTTAATGGGCCCTGGAAACGACAGGGCCGCTTTTGTTATCGGTTCCGTTTTGCCGATTTCTTGCCCGTTCCGACGCCGTCTTTTACCGGTTCCGTCGCCGTTTTTTGACTGGTTCTGGCTCCGGTTCCAACCCTGGAGCCGTTGTTTTGCCGTTTCTGGTCGCCGTTCTTTTGCCGTTTCCATTTTCAAGGGACACTTTCTCGGAAACGGTGAAAAAAACGGCCCTGCCGTTTCCAGGGCCCACTAAGCCCGTGTCCGACACCCGGGGAAGAGGAGGAGGCACGAGAGAGGCGGGTGGGTTCCGTACAAGGAAAGCCCATAGGAAGGGGGCCACCTTCCCAGGGGCACCCCTGCGTCCCCAGTTGTTGGTCGGCAGTGCGCCGCTAGAAAGGCTCCGACGGGGGCGAGGACCGTCCAGGGGTCCTGCGTCCTTGCAGCGCGTCCTTACTACAGTCTTCGACCGTAAGGGAAGCGAAGAGCAAGCTTTAGGCTAGGCTTTAGAACTTACTATAGTCTTCGCCGCTAGGAAAGCTTCGACTGCGGCGTCCAAGGACCGTCCAGGGGTCCTGCGTCCTTGCAGCGCGTCCTTACTGCAGTCTTCGACCGTAAGGGGGTGGGGAAAGGGAGCACGGGGGAGGGGGCGAGGACACCGCACGAGCCTGGTTCGCTGTCCTCGTGCCCGTACCTCGTGCCACGACCTACTTTGTTCAGGCCATTGCATCACAGTGCATCACAATGCATCGTAAGGCACAGCAATGCAATGCGTTGCAATCCACTGCAACGCCAGGCACTCCAGAGCGATGCAGCGCAACGCAGAGAGGTGCCACGCTCTGCACACATTTGCTGTGCACACCATTACAAGGCAACGCAATGCAACGCAATGCAAAGGAATGCAAGGCAAAACAAAGCAAAGTAATGCAAGGGAATTCCAAGCAACGCAATGCAAAGCAATGCGAGGCAATGGTAAGCAATGAAACGCAATGCAACGTCATGCAAAGCACTGCAACGAAACGCCCAGCGACGACACCGACGAAAGCCGACGAACGACGACGACGACGACGACGAATTGCGTACGCTCCATTGGAGGGAGCGCGAGGCCTGACGACGACGACGACGACGACGACGACGGCGACGACGACGAAGAACCACCGACGAAACTGCGAATGCCGCATGGGGGTGGCTCGGTTGGCGAGTGGGTGGGTGCGGAAATCAGATGCCCGGGGCAAATCGCACTTCCGCACGTGTGTTGGGCCGCGGAGGGAGGGCGAATGTCGGACAAAAATGCCGCTGGCCAATGCCAGAACGCATTCCGCAACTTCCTGGTCCCGCGGAAGCATGGTGGGTGCTGAAAATATTATGGAATGTCTCCCGAGAGGCGCGCCAGCCGCAGGGTGAGCGGGCCCAACATGCCTACGGATTTTCCCCTGGAGCTCGCCGGGGGAGGGGCTGGGGGACGTGAGGCCGCGCGACCCCCTTGTTGCAAAAGCGGCGCCAAACAATGCCACGCAATGCAACACAAAGCAACGCAGCGCACTGCAAACACATGCATTGCAACGCATTGCAAGGCAATGCGATGCAATGCAACATAATGCAAAGAAATGCAAAGCAATGTAGCGCAATGCGAAGCAATGCGCAGCAATGCAAACAAATACCAAGCAATGCCAAGCAATGGAAGGCAATGCAAAGCGATGCCCAGCGGCGACGACGGCCTTCGCGACCGGCGGGAACGAGCTGGCAGGACGGACTCCAGGTCCCAGAGGCGACGCCGGCGACGCGCGGCGTCAGGCGGCCACGGGCGGCCACGAGCCAGCCGGGCCGGCAGCAGAGCTCAGTCAGCTGAGAAGCGAAGCAAGAGCCCCTGATTTAGGGAACCCACAAAGGACGTACGCGCCCAACTATGTACATGAACACGGCCCCTCGATCCGCGAGACCGGCCGCGTGATACGAACATTCGCGCTTTGCGCACTCTCGAAACCAACGTGGATTCATGTACGTGTACGTCCTTTTTTTGCTCCTGATGAGTGCAAGAACTGCTTGGGGAACAAAGAAGGCCTGCGGGCCAGTCTGGCGGGCCCGTGCTCGCCGTCTCCGGCCCGTCGCCGCCCGTCGTCTGGATCTGCGTGCTGCTGGTCTGGCGGTTCTGTGCTCGCCGCCGCCGTCCCGTCGCCGCCCGTCGTCTGGATCTGTCTGGCAGTTCCGTGCTCGCCGCCGCCGCCCCGTGGCCGCCTCGGTGTTGCATTTTTTTGGTTTGCGTTGCGCTGTTCCCTTGTGCTGTGCATCCATTTGCATTGCGTTGGTGTGCACAGCGGTGTGTTGCGCTGGTTGGCGCCGTTCTGCAAAATATTTCGTCGACGCCACTGTTCCGCATGATGTTGCACTGACATTCGTTGTGTTGCTTGGCTTTGCATTGTGTTGCTGCGCTCTCCCTTCTAGATCTACCAGCCTCCAACGCCGGGGTCATTTGCTCCATATGGGGACGCGCAGCTTACATATATGATTATGTCCCGTCGTTCATTCTACAAGTTAAAGCACACCATCCCAGCCAGGCCGGTATCGAATCGCCCCGTCATCCATTGACAGAAAGCTATACGCGCGCACTGGTTTATCAAAAAAATATTTGCGTCAATTTGAACAAATCCCTGGCCAGGGAAACGGGCACTTGAACCCGCGCGCGTCGGCGCGCGTGCATGCCGGAATCCTCCACACACGCTCCAATTTTCGCGCGGGGTTCAAAACTAAACGTCCCGAAACATATAAAAAAATATGGTTTGGCAACGTGATGTTTCAAATCAGGCCTGCGCGCGCCCGTGGGAAATCGAAGTGCAACCCATAGGTTTTACAACATGTTCATCACATGCGGCCCCTGGCCATCGCTCGGACGTCCATTCCCTGTCTGTTTTTCGGTTTCGTGCGTGGCTTTTTCGCCAAATGATGAAGAATGTTTCTCGATGGTCCTCGGGGTCCTCGCCGAAAAAATGCACACGTCCGAACGATGCCAGGACCACGCGGGCCTTTCGGGCGCGCCTGTCGGAATCATTCGATCGCCCGGGCGCGCGTGCTGGGGCGGGGGGGGCAATCCCTGTCAGATTAAGCCGTGCGGGCCACCCGCGTCCGTCGGCCGCGCGCGCAAGTCGAAACCGTGTTTTAAAACCTTCCTCGCCGACGCGTGGCCACCATTAGCTGTGTAATCAGCATCGGCGCCGTCATTGGCCTTGCCGCCGTCCTCGTCACAGTCAACACAATAATCGTTACAATACAATCATCATCGCGTCTGCCATTGTCGACGCCGCCATGATACCGCGCCCGCCAGAATCACCGACCCGCACTGAAGTGCCCGCGCGTCAGGGCGGCCTGCGAGGCGCGCCGGGGAATCCCCGACGTTCAACGCCACTGGGGCCGCGTTGGTGACGCCAGACTACCTGGCCGCAGAGCGCACGAGCCTGCGCGCGTTAGCGCGGCCGCACGAAAGCGCCAACAAGCACCAATCAGTCATCGCAATCGCCGCCGCGCTGGTTCTGCAAACCAAGTTGCGGGTGGGTGGGTGGGATGATTGCGCGAGCAGTGTGCAAGGTGAACTTGCACCACATAGATTGCACCACAGAGGTTGCAAAGAGATTGCTCCACAGAGATTGCACAACAACGCAGGCGGCTCCACATAGCTTATACTACATAGACTGCTAGAAACACACCATTCGAGGTCCACCCTGGCTAAGCTATACAAATACCTGTGGTTACTATATACAAGTATCATGTCTACACGTGTGTATTGGCCCCAGGGAGGCCGAGTAAGCCCACATCAGCCTGTCGAGGGCCCCGAGGATCGATCCCTGCCTCAGGTCCGGTAGGGGCAAATGGGACGAGCCCGCGCGGGCGGAGGAGCCGAGTCCGGTGCGGTCGGCTCCTGGACGAGCGGGGCCGAGACAGGCGTTGGGGCCACGCAAGACCGATGAGCGTCGCTGCGAGCGGAGGCGGGGGAGGAGCGAGAGGTGGAGGAGCAGACGATCGAGGAGAGTGAGGAGCAGGGGGGGGGGAGCGGAAGTCGGAGGAGGTGGGCTGGGGAAGGGGGGAAGGGACGGCGAGGGAGAAGGGGCACCGTCGCGCGAGAAGGCCGAGGCCCCCGCGAGTAGACACCAGCGTAGTCACCGAGGGGGGGGAAGAGACAGGAGAAGTGACGATCGCCCCCCAGCGTCAGCGGGGCCGCGGGAGGAGGGGAAAAGCTCGGTCGGGAGCACGAGTAGGTGGGGTGTGGCCTCCGTGGGAATGGTCAGGGGAGAAGGGGAAGTAGAAGTATGATGCTGAGGAAAGCAGGAGAGAGAACTTCGCCCTCCACCGTTGCCGCGGATGGGGCGGGGGATGAAGAGACCACCCTCCCTTGCTGGCGCGGGCGCAGTGGGGAGCAGCTCGCCTCCATGATGTGCCAGAGCGACAGCATGTGTTGCTGGCCGGGGGGAGGGCGGGATCGGCGAGCCCGTTCCTGCCACAAGCCCGAGACATCGAGGGGATCTGAAAGCAGGGCTCAGTGATCAAACCTCCTGGGCGCTTTGCCCCGTCTTGGGCGCCTCTGCCGGCTGCGATCAGAAAAATAAAAGAGCCCCCTAACCCTTTGGGAGGGCACCTGAACCAGGAGGGCCCAGAACATTACGGATAGGGGGTCTTTTCTGCAGGTGTGTCGGACCAGGCCGCCCAGATGGATGATCCCGAGTGCAGACGAAGACGGCGACCTCAGTGAGGCCACGTCTTCACTGTGTGACTCTGGTTACTCCAGATTTCGTAATAAAAGGAGGGGGTCTGGACCCTCCAAGACAAGCCATTTCAGACCTCCCCCGTGGGAGAACCCTCCAAAACATCGTCCCCAGACCCCCCAGGCCCTCCAAGATAGCCTGGAAGAGACCCCCCCCCCGAAATGAGACCCCCCTCCCTTTATTACGAAATCTGGAGTAGGGCTCCTTTCTTCCTCGATGAGGCTGCACGCCAGCGCGGCTCGCCGATCGCTGCGCCCTGTGGCACGGCAGCGGCTGGCGCGACCGGCGTGCCGGGCTCTGGCTTCCCCCTTCCCCGCGCGCCGCGCCCCCCCGACCACCGCACACCGGAGGGCAACGCGGACGGCACCCAGGAGGAGGAGGAGGAGGAGGAGGAGGAGGAGGAGGAGGAGGGAACGGCTTCGTCTATTAGACATCGAGCCGCGAGCGAAGCGAAGCGAAGGAGGAGGAGGAGGAGGAGGAGGAGGAGGAGGAGGGAGGAGGGAGGATTAGATTAGATTAGACAGCGCCTTAGGAAAGGTCGGAAGGTGAACACACCAAAGACTGGCAAGGTTACGAAAAATTATGCCATCGATTGAGAACTGGCTTCTTTGGCCTTGACTCGAGCAAATAAGGCAGCCATTCTCTGCTCATACTGTGGGGCCACTTCACTGGAAGAAAAACCTCTGGGGACGGACGACACAGACTGCACCTCTTTCGGGCTTGCGAGAGTCGCATCAAGTCGAGAGATGGGGATGGCCTTATCCAAACGTTCCCTCAACCTTGGGTTAGGCCCTAGCCCCCGACGAAACGCGCTCAAAACCTCGAGGCCCTTAAAAGTGGGTGCAGCACAAGTCTTAGCAAGTTTGATCATCCTTCCCTGAGTCCAGCCACCACAGTTGAGACACAGAAATTGTTGTTCCTTTATTTCGGTGCGTCCAGAACCCGAGACAGGACCCGAGGAAGCACCAGAAGCAGTTTGAAGAGCCGTTCCCGACACAGCAACGAGAGAATGGCCCATGGGATTCGCGAGCAACTTAGCTATCGCCGTGGGCGTGCCTTGACATCCATCAGCGGGGCGATCACCAGACGAGCTGACTATCAGGCAGTGAACACACTGAATTCCAAGCTCAGTCCGACGCCATTCGTGCCAACTACGCTTGGCTCGTGACCGCTGCTGACTCTGCGGGGCACGTCTCCACCTCAACTCATTCCGAAAAAGCGAGAGGCATGCACTGGCAAGCTTCACAAACATCCCAGCTCTCCTCTTAGCCTCCTCGACAGAATGCAAGAAGGCAGGGGTGGGGGTGGGATGGGAGGCCAGGGCCAACTTCGCATGGTTGTCCACAATCTTATTGGCCTGGCCGAAACGATATTCATCACCTGCAAGCTGGTTCAACTCTTCATCAGAGCGGTGGGCCTTCACATGAAAAGCCTCCAAAAACTTGGAACCATCAAGCTCAGAAGCGAATTTTCGGATGCCAGAAAACTTATTCTGAGCCTCTAACTGTTTGGCCACAGGTCTCTGAATGTGCTGGATCACCCCAAGACAATCGAGACCGAGCCGAGTCGGGCGATCAGCGACCTGGCCACAAAACGCAGCAGCAACATGCTCCGCAGCAGCTGGGCTCTGGGGGAGGGTGCCTGGAACAACGCCTCGTAGCACAGCCTCCATGTCTGTCGTATTCGGCGAGAGCAAAGCAATCGACCATGCCGCGCGTCGGAGCGGCTTAAGCATCTGCTTGGTGGCCGAGCCGTCGGCCGCGAGTTCAAGCGGCTGTCCTGGCGGAGCGAGGGCAGCTAGTTCCTCGGGCTGACAGTCGAGCTCGTTACCCTGGCCATCGAAAATCTCACAGGCCGAGCTGAGGGAGGGAGGAACAAGCTGGGAGTCATCATAGACAAAGATGCCTCGAGTGTGCAGACAATCATCGGTCTGAAGGGCAACCTGCAACGACTCATTGGGGATATCTTCGCATGCAATCTCACGGGCAGCCAGCACATCTGGTCTAGTGCATGTGTAGATGCGATGATGCGGGGTATCAACCTGCCCACACTCACAACGACCACAACTAAGATACCCCGCATCTTGGGCCCTCTTCTCGGTCCAATTGGCATCACACGCTGCACACTTTAACAAAAACTGCTGCTGTCGAGTGAAACTTTTCACGCGGGGAACCATCTTGTCCCTGACCAGGTCCAGAGTGGCCCGAAAACCAGGAGGGAAACCGAGTTTTTGGCCCAAGGCCAGCTCAGCCTGCCTCTGGAGGCCTGCTTCAAGCAACTCCTGCAGCATTCGAGGTGACACTAAACTGATATCGATGGGATTCTGATGGTGATCAATCCAAGCACAAGCCTCGGGAGCCGACCAACCTGCCCTCTTGAGACACAAGACAACTCTACTGAGCGGGCCTCGACTATTCTTCCAGTCAACGACGCTGCTCGCATTAGCCTGTTGCCACAACGACACGAGGGCAGGGAAACTTAAAAGGGCTCTCTCGGGCGCTACCTTGGAGATCCAAACCATCCTACTCCATTGCAAGACGGGGCCCAAAGCAGCACGGACGTCCCATTCTCCAAAGAGGACCAATTTAGCACTCGCTGAAGTGCCACCGTGCATGGGCGCCTGTCGCCTCGCCTGGGTTCTGCGTATTGACGCCAATTCAGCATCCGAAAACCCCAAGACCTCAGAACCATACGACGACGCAGGAGCCAGGCCAGTACGGGAGGAGGAGGAGGAGGAGGAGGAGGAGGAGGAGGAGGAGGAGGAGGAGGCACCGCACCGTGTCCGTGAGTGTTTGGAACCCCTGCGGGCCCCCCGCCCGCGTGCGGCAGGGTGCATGGATGTCGGGCCCTGGCGGCCGACACACTACGCACCGTACCCTTCCTGGGCCGCGGATCGACGACGCCTCGAGAGGGCCGCCAAGGCGGTGGGGTGCACACATGTTGTCCGGGGACACCAGGAGGTACTTCTGGCCGAGGGCCAGGCGAGGCATCCGGGCCTCGGGGGGGGGCATCCAGAGGACCCGGACCTCCAACACCTTGTCCACAAGAGCCAGGGCGCAGGCTGTTCGCCATTTTCGGCCTCTGGGGGCGGTGGCCAAGAGGAATGGTTGTGTGCAAGTTCTGGCAGGCTTACCTGAATGATGAGAGCCTGGTCCCTGGGAAGGGGTGGAGAGCTCCGTGGCCCAAGGATCGACCAAAATCATCAGAACATCGAAGGTCTTGGAATATAGGGACGTGCGGGAGCCAGTGCATGTGGGCGGACGGAGATCTGCACTTTTTTTGTGATTTGCTTTCTGGGCCTCCAGAGAACCCCAGGGAGGCTATGAAATAGGCAGGGAGGAGGGGATGGGGAGATGAGCAGGTGTGTAGATCGGGGAGAAGGGAAGGACGGGCGGGGGGAGGTGGGGGGGCGGGGGGCAGGAATGGGACGGAGAGAGGGAGGCCAGAAGGGGGGGGGGAGGCGGAGAGGAGAGAAGTATGAACAGAGAGGTAGAAGGGAAGGAACGGGATGGGAGGAGGAAGAGAAGGTAGGACAAAGAAACCGGTGTGTGGTGAGCGTGAGTTTACAGTGCACCGCCCTGACGAGTAGAGGGAACCCGCCAAGCAGCTGGGATTCGCCCAATCGGTGTGCGACACGCATCGGGCTTTGACAGCGGGTCCTGTGCCTGTTGGCACTTGCATTCCCAATCAGTGTCAGTGGCGCGACCCTGTCACGTCCCAGGCGTACCTTGACCACGTGAAGTCCAAAAACGGTGCACAGAACTCGATACGGATGCTCGCGAGTCCGGACACGACGAGACCTAATGTCGCACAAACTGGTTCACCAGACTTGGGTCGATCACCCATTAGTCAAGAGCCGACACGGGGCCGACCCGATGCGGAGACTGGTGTCTTGCCATTTGCCGACCCATAAAGCAGGAAGGAAATGACGAATTGGCCGCATTAGACTCTCGAGAACGGCGACTCGCGCAGAAGTGCGGACAGACACACCCGAGAAGCAACGCTCCAGCTGTAAGACCTACTATCTTGAACGAAGAAATAGTATCCAACAAAAATCCCCAGGGAACCTCCCGGACAACCCAGACAACCCCTCCTGCCAGCGCTGAGGCGAGAGCGCCACGCCTGATGATGAGGCGTGTGGCCAGCGCGAAGGCGACAGCACCAATCCCAGACGGGGATGTAGCCAGAGCTCGGGCGCGAGCACCACCCCAAATTACGGATGTTGCCTGCACCCGAGCGGCAACACCACGCGCACCCAATCAAGGAGTTGGCCAAAGTTGAGGCGAGAGTACCGTTGCCCACCCAGGACGCGGCCAGCGCGCAGTGCAGGGTATCGCGGGGGGAGCTGGTCAGACCAGCTCTCGTGCGACATCTCGTAACCCAGAAATCGGGGTGAATGCCCTGAAGCAGCACGGATTCCGCCTGCATCCTTTACGGCATGCCGCCGGGAAAGCGGCAGGACAGGGAGAAGGGGGGGAGGGACGGTGGGAGCGAAGGACAGAGGTAGGACTGGGGGGTGATGTATCCGTATTGCAGTCGGGGTGGATTGAAGGGGACACGCGAGGGGACACAAGGCTCCTCCGAGGGCCACATTGCCGTCTGAGTGTAGAGGCATGGGCCGCGAGGCACAGGACACAAAGGGTACCCTCGATCTGGCAGGGTCGACCTGCGCAGCAGCCTCGACTGCGAGGTGGAGGAGGCTCGCCATCGATCGGACGCCCAATCCCCGTGCACGTGTCGGTCTCGCGCGTGTCTGGTTTTGGATTGCGGAATGCTCCAGGCTTCTCCTCGATGGCCCTCGCCGAAAAAAAGTGCGCACGTCCGAGCCATGTCAAAAAGAGAGGTAAGGAGTGTGGAGGGGTAAGAGTGTTAGGTCGGGCATGTCTTCCTGCAGGCGGATTTTAGAAAATGACAAATAACCAAAACATGCTGACAAATATTCAAAAATACTGGAAGCCTCGCCCACCGACTATTTCTTTGTCAATGTTTGAACATTCTCTCTGTAGAGGAACATGCCCGACTTAAGCGGAGTGGGAACCAAACACCATGGAGGGAGGATGGGAGGGGGTGGGGAGAGGAGCAGCAGCAGGGGGAGGAGCATGGGGAGGGGCAGAGAAGCATCTGGAAGGCATCGTCGCGGGCGCGACGGAGTCGAGGTCCCGAACGCCTGCGGCGCAGCCTGCTCGGGTGGAGGACCCTCGCGGGCGGCATCACCCGGGAAGACTGTTCGAACGGGCCAGCTCCAACAAGTTCCCCGCCAAGTTCGGGACCATCGCTCGAACCTTACGAGTCTCGGCTGTGCAAATGTCCTGGCCCGCGGCAAACGCTCAGCCTTGAAGAGGGAGGACCAGAGAACGGGGCGGGGACGGTGACGGCGCCGACGTCCGAAAGGGGATGCCAGGAAGACATGTGAACTCGACGCCCCGCGAGGATGGTGGGCTTGGAGGTGCAGCATGCAAATCCCTGCAAATGAGACACGGACGGAGGACACTGACACAAACAGGGTAAGAAACAAGAAAGGGCGGCGTCGCCTTCAACCGGCCACCTTTGAGCGCGCGGTTCACAGCAATCACCTCCTCGCCACGAAAAAATACAGCTATACATGCACAAGCATAGCAAATACACGCAAACAACAACACAGAACTTCCTCATAACTAACCAACCCTGTAAAACCAATACGATACGCGGTCGAGAGCAGACGGCACACAACAAACAACAGGTAGAGCAGCGCCCTCGAAGCAGATGGGGCGGACAGAATAATGAGGCGCAATGCGGGGCGATGAACACTAGGGTGAGCTCCGTTCAGCCCTGCAATGCCAGGATGAACGTGGCAACTCGAGCGGCAAGGAGACGCGGACGGACATGCGCAGTGCACTGGATCCGGAGAGCGTGCCAGCCGGCGAGCGTGCTAGCAGGGTCTCCCAAATTCGCGTTTCGCGCCGCGTTCCTTCCAAGCTTTATGTCGGGCCTGTCCTCCTACAGGGGGATTTTCGACGAAAAATAAAAATACCCAAAAAATACGCCCAAAAGGTCAAACAATACTAAAACAAATAGTCCCCAGAGTATTGTTGGACTATGTTTTGATTATTTGTGGTGTATTTTGTATTTTTCGTCGGGAACCCCCTTGTGCTCTCGCGCCGCCCCGCGAAGAAGAAAAACTCAGCCCCGCCCCCACGAACACACACACACACACACACACACACACACCCACACGCAGACGCTCACACGAACCCTCGCAAGCCCTCATTTTGCCCTCCAGGCGCGCTGGTGGGTTGCAGACGGCGCGCCAAGCAATACAGTGGCTGGCTGCGTGCAAGGCAAGCTGGCCATCTTCTGTGGAAACACGCGCACACTAGCACAAATTGTTTCGTCGGCGGCGAGGCAGAGGGAGTCCGCACCAGCGTGTGGCTAATCGGGGCAACCGATGGGCAAATTGTCCGGCGTGCAAAGAGGAGAGACGAAAACGAGGGCTGCCGCGCGAGGGCAGCACCGGCATACACATACACACATACACAAAAACGCACACACACAAACCCACGCACACACAGACACGCACGACCGCCGCCAAACGCCGCGGGTCTCCTCCGCGAGGTAGAGCAGAAGCAGGACGAAGAAAAGCGCCTCCAGGCCCAGGCGCACCTACGGGGAGCCATGGGCCATGGGAAGGGCGCCCCCAGAGTCTCGCGCGGGAGGCGTCTCCCTGAGCCTCGCGAGGGAGGCGTCTCAGAGGGGGAGGAGGAGGAGGAGGAGGAGGAGGAGGAGGAGGAGGAGGAGGAGGAGGAGGAGGAGGAGGAGGAGGAGGAGGAGGAGAAAGAAGAAGAGGAGGGGGGGCGAAAAGACCATCCCCTCCGCCACTGCCCATCCCAACCCGCTTCCGCCCGGCCCCGCTCCTCCCGGGAGGCCCTCGGAAAAAATTCAGGGGGCAACCGAGCAGCATTCAGAGCCGCCTCGTTGGCTTCCGGAGACGCAGAATTGGACCCCCCTCCCCCCACCCTCCTCCTCCTCCTCCTCCTCCTCTCCTCCTCCTCCTCCTCCTCCTCCTCCTCCTCCTCCTCCTCCTCCTCCCCTCCCCCTCCTCCTCCCCCCCTCCCCCTCCCCCTTCCCCCCCCCTCCCCCTCCCCCCCCCCTCCCCCCCCCTCCCCTCCCCCTCCACCCACGCCCGCCCCCCCACCTGAACTCGGAGTTCGGAACTCGGACCTGCAGCTCTTGCTGCCCAGGGCGTTGCTGGCGGTCGCATCGCCAGGCATGCGAAACATGTGCGATGCTGGTCAGATCAGCATGCATGCTATGAGAAAAAGATACAGGCACATATGCAAAACAAACAAAAGCATGACAATGCACACACGGCGAAAACAAGAGTCGGCGCAGCACTACTGACATAATTACGTTGGCTCGAAAATCCAAAACGCGCCAGTATAGACAGTAAATGGCCAACTTGGTCCATAACATAAGGGGAGAGGGAGGAGGAGGAAGAGGAGGAGGAGGAGGAGAATGAGGATGAGGATGAGGATGAGGATGATGATGATGATGATGATGAGGAGGAGGAGGAGGAGGAGGAGGGAAGAGGAGGAGGGGAGGGAGGAGAGGAGGGGGAGGGGGAGGGGGAGGAGGGAGGAGGAGGAGAGGAGGAGGAGGAGGAGGGAGGAGGAGGAGGAGGAGAGAGAGGAGGGAGGCCCAACCACCCACACACACACACATCACCCACCCACCCAAAACACACACACACAAACCATCCCGCCTTCCTGGGCCCCCTGCCTGCCGCCCCTCACATCAACAACATCTAGGAGGGCCCCTGGAGTGACGAGGGCGAGGATGAGGCTGCTGCAGCCCCAGACGCGTCGCCATGACTGGGGGCCTGGCTGCCAGCCACAACACAGTGGATGCACCCCTCAAAACAACATCGGTGTATTGCATCCCTCAGGAAGTAACACACAACCGCGCTGAAATGTGATGTGCATGTGACGGGAACTGCGGGCATGGAGCCTGGAGGATGCATCGGGAACCGCGATGTTCCAGAGCGCTCCGCTCCCGAACGGACAGCGTTCCCGAGCGCTCTGGAACGATCCAATGTGACCCCAAATTGTCTGAAGGGACTCCCCTTCGCAGCGCACGCCAAGATCGACCCGCCCCGCTCCTCTGAGAGACCTCCTGGCAGGGAAGAGAGCGCCACGCGGAGTCGTCCGCCCCCATGCGTGGCGGCGCTCTCCACTTGTCGGCCGGGGCGGGTGGCGCCACGCCGCGAGGCGTCCTGGGAGTTGATGGCCAAATAAAGACACAGTCCCAATCCCAAAATCGCGGAATTCCACCCAAGACTCGAACATCGGCCAAAGATTTCGGGGCATTGTCTACATTTTTCGCTGCCCCCCTGGGGAAAAAAAACCCTACCCCGACAGCTCCCCCCCTTCCCCGAAGCCTCGAGGATCCTGCGCTTTGTCTTGGCCCTCGCGCTCTCGGGATCGGGCGCCAGCTTTGAGCTGGTGAGTGGAGCGCCCCCCCGCGCGGCATGAAGCACGCGCGCGCGCCAAATCTTGGAAGGTGCTGTACAGGTTCAGCCGGCACGCGTAGGTGACGACGGAGGGCACGAAGCGTCCGCCTCTCTCGGAGAACGGCGAGGGGCCGCACGGCCCCGCGCGCATTCGCTGTGTGCGTGTCTCTGTCCTGACATCTCTGCTGGCTTTTGGCGCCCCAGTTGCTCCACATCAGTAGAGAGAGAATAATGGGAGCTGAGCGTGAGAGGCACAAGCAAAGCGCGGGGGGCGCACAAGAGGGAAGAGGCACGGAGTGAGGGGGAGAGGGCGATGGCGATCAAGAGGAAGATGCGAGAGGCAACTGTAGAGGAACACCAACGAGAGAGAGAGAGAGATCGATACAGACAAATATAATGCAAACTATTGGCGCAATGAGGGGGAGACAGACAGCACATGTCGAACATCTCTGTCTGGATTGTAAATCATATGGTGTGTGCTCTCTCTCTCTCTCTCTCCCTCCCTCTACTCGGCGCCTTCCTCCCTCTCTCTCGCGCTGTCTCTCTCCATATCTCTCTGTCTCTCTCCCTTCTATACACACACTCTCACTCTCTCTCCCTCTCCCTAACAAATGTTCACACTGATCCACACTCCTTGCTCATTCCACCACCCCCTCTCTGTCTGATCTCCCCGTCCCTCCCTGTGTCTCTCCATCCAGCTCTCTCTCGCCCCCCTTTCCTCTCATTCACTCTACCTCTCTCCCTCTTCTCTCTCTCTCTCTCTCTATATATATATATATGTGTAGCCTTATCTCTCTTCCCAGTGGCTCGCGACAACAGGGAACGCACCTGACTGGAAGCTCTTGTTTTTGTCGCGAGATCCACGCACTAGTCTAACATCAGCCAACGGTCTGGCCGACGTCTGACACAACTGCTAATCCTATGGGCAAGCCAGCCATACGACCCTGCCGAATCCATCGCCGCGCCCTTCCGTCCGATCCTTGGCCCCTGACATCCTCGTCCTCCATCGTTCGTTGTTGTGAATTACTCCGCAATCAGCACACCAACACACTTGTGGGTAGGACGGGCAGGGCGTTTGTCATGGAAATCCCTCGCGTCCGTATTCTCAGACAGTTACGTGTGTGGAGGGGCACAAAGGGCAATCCTGACACTGACAGAGTCCAACAGTCAGCCGCAACGAACACACATAGTTTCAAAGACACGGTCATGCTCATCCACGTTCATTACCAAGGCTTCCCACGCTTACGCGGGTGAAAAACTGACACATCGAATAAAACAAGTTATCCATGGATACGTCCTCACAACAGGCACTCCGCAAACCAACGCCAACCAACAATTACACTGTTGGACAACAATTACACGGATGGATGGTAGCGCGTTTTCAAACCGCGCTCTCGTCTGAGCTGCCACCGTGCTGCGAGCACTCAGTGGAGCGTCCGCAAACCATCTCGAGCTCTCAATATCGTTATAAACTTTATTTTCTGCTGGAAGGTCCCCAGTTCCGGACTTGCAGAATGCCCCCCTGGCGCTCTTGGGGCTTCCCGCGCTACTTTCCAGGGGCCCACGGGCGTGCTTCGGGGCCGAAGACTCCAGCATGTGTTAAGATGGTCCGAGGAGTCCGTGCTGGGGCTGGCCCAAGAGGCCAGCATCACCGAACCACCGAATTAGCCCAACGCTCCTCGCGCTCAGTGGTTAAGATGCATATGTCTGTGAATCGATGTATATCGCTCGTACCCATGTGAACCTAACCTATGTATATACATATATATATATATATACATACATACATGCATGCATAGGTATAGAAAGATGCGTGCATATGTAAAGCTATGTGTGTGCTTATTCGAGCGTGTGTGTGTATATATATACACAGCCATACATACACACGTGGTTGTGTATACGATATGCAACTATATGAGCATGTTGTTGCTTGGGTATGCCAGGTGCTCGGCTGGTGCTTGGCTCCTTGGGCCCCTGGGCGCCCCGTGTCGGGCGGGCGTGCCGAGGCGTCGCCCTGCCAGCAAGCGCACAGTGCGCCCGGCGGCCGTGCCGCGGCTCTGCAGGAGGTGCCCACGAGCGTGGGCGCCATTGTGCGCCGTTAGCCGTCCTCCTCCTCCTCCTCCTCCTCGTCCTTCTCGTCCTCCTTCTCGTCCTCCTCCTCCTCCTCCTCCTCCTCCTCCTCCTCCTCCTCCCGTAGCCATTTTGGCTCAAGCACATTGGGCCCAAGGCGCGTAGATCCTTTTTGGCTCAAGCGCGTCATGGGTCCTGCCCCGCCGCCTCAGCGCGGCGTGCTTTTGGCTTCTCGCAACTCTGGATGTTAGACATCGTCTATTTACAGAGGCGTGGGTCGGCTAAGAGCGGGGCGAAGTGTCAGAGTCAGGTTCAAATTCATTCAGTGGTTGCATGCCACCTGGGACACTTGTCAGGCGTTCGTGGATGTCCGTGGGATGTTGGGTTCATCTTCCCCGATTTGCGGGGCCTTCAAAGTGCGTATGGTGGCCAAGCTTGTATATTTCAATATATGTACGAGTTGTTTTTATTGTGCCCATGGGATACCCACAGGGTTCATACCCACAGGGTCTTGCGGCACTTTTTGTACCTGCTATACCTTCACATGCTGCGCTTATTGTTTCAATGGTCAATTTGATAGCTCTCGTGATCGGCATCGGTACCGCTCTGCATCTTTCAAGATTGTGGCCATTTGTGTATGCAGTGTTGCGTATCCTTATCAGTCACTTGTGCATGTTTCGGCAGTGGTTTGGAGGTTTCGCTTTTGGGTGTACGTGGGAGTCTTGTTATTCCCCTGCTTAGAAGTGGGCTTCTTGGATTGCTGGCATTCATGTGTGCGGGGTATATGCTTCAATCGGTCGTGGCTGCAGTCGCTCGTACAGGCTGTAATATCGAAGAGGTTATGAGGTCGTCACTGGGGTGCACGCGGGAATTTCCCCTACTCCGGTATGGTCTCCAAGTCGGTTGCCGCCCGTATGGTGCAGCCTACATGCAGCGCGTGGAGTATTGCATGGTCGCCGTCCTCTTCTTTCTCCTCGTGTCGCTGGAGGCGGTCAGAGAGCGGTGTAGCATGGAGTTAAGACTTAGTCTTCAGTCATTCTCATTCTCATTCTCCTCCTCCTCCTCCTCCTCCTCCCGCCCGTGGGCACCTCCTGGGCGCCAGCGTGCGCTGGGTGGGTGTGCAGAGGCTTCGCCTCGTGCCCGCTCGTGGGCGCCTCGTGCGCTGTGTGTGTGTGTGTGTGTGTGTGTGGTGGGGGGGGGGGGGGCGAGGCGTCGTTGGGGGCCTCGTGGGCGCCATCGTGCACCGAGTGGATGTGCCGAGGCTTCGCCCGGTGCCCGCCCGTGGGCGCCAGCGTGCGCTGGGCGGCAGCACCGATTGCACTGCACAGCCTGGTCCCGCATAGCTTTCACCACGCAGCTTACACCGCACAGCTTTTAGGCTGCACGGCATGGCCTAAGACTGCTTAACACTGCACAGCTTACACCGCACAGCTTAACACTGCACAGCGTGCACTACACCCATTGCACCGCACTGCCAGCACCACATGATATACACCACGTACCTTGCACATCGTACCTTGCATCACATAGCTTGCACCACATAGCTTACAACACATAGCTCGCACCGCATAGCTTGCACAGCATAGCTTCAACTGACAGATTCCACCATACAGCTTACACGGCATAACCTGCACCCCATTGGCTACGCAACCACAATGCTGCACCTTACAGTTTGGAATCCGCAATATCAAACATGTGTCCGAGGGCAACGGAGACTGACATAAACATAACAACTCGGAGGTCCGCGCGGATTTCTCGGATCCGCGCTGGACCCATTTCCCTGGCGTGCGGAGCGCGCCACGGGCGGCGCCGGAGGCGCCGCTGGGGGGTCCAGCACGGATCCGAGAAATCCGCACGGACCTCCGAGTTGTTATGTTTGTGCCATTCTTCGTTCCCCTAGAATGAGTTGTCGCATGCTCGCCTTCGGTCGGGCGTGGCTGAATTGTGGACGACAAATCAAACATACTCCAAAGATGCTAAACAATAATCGAAAGATCGTCCCAGACTATTTTTGACTATTTGGGAAGGTTCCTCCTGTAGAGGGACACGCCCGACTTAATGCTCGCCTTCTTGGTCGTAGGAGCGCCCAAGACGGCCCAGGACGCCACACATGTCCAACGCAGCATCGCCAAAATGCTACATCTTACAGTGCTACGCTACAGCTGGCACCACATTGGCTACACAGCCGCAGTGCTACACCTTACTGTGTGAGGTCCACGCTAGTGTCGGGCCGGGCGAAAAGGGGGAATAGCAAAGGGGGGGGTGAGAATCAACTCACGTAGCCGATTTTCCCGGCGCCCCTCCTGGCGCCGGAGGCGGCTATGTATCGAGGAATAGGCCCCTCGGTGGGGCCGAAGCCAGCTGCATGCAATAGATATCGTAACCCCTCCTTTCCCAATCCCCCCCTCTCGTCCGGCCCGATGGTGTGAACACGTGTTCGTATGGGTCCCGCTCAGATCCCCGCGGTGCCTCACTCCGAAGGACCCACCAGCAGCACTCGAAAGTAACGACAGTGTCGCAGATCGCAGCCCCCCAGGGACGGCGAGACCCCGCTCAGGTCCCCGCGGTGCCTCAGCCGGCAGGACCCATCAGCCGCCCTCGAAAATGGCGATAACGTCGCAAATCGCAGCTCCCCGGGACGGCGAGGTCCGGCTCAGATCCCCGCGGTGCCTCACTCCGCAGGACCCACCTGCAGCCCTCGAAAGTGGTGCCAGCGTCGCAAATCGCAGCCCCCCAGGGACGGCGAGGTCCCGCTCCGATCCCCGCGGTGCCTCACCCCGCAGGACCCACCAGCAGCCCTCGAAAGTGGCGACAGTGTCAAAGATCGCAGCCCCCCAGGGATGGCCAGGGTCGCGCAAGACAAGAGGAGACAAGCGGGGAACGGGAGACGGGACGCGGGAGGAGGAGAAGGAGAAGGAGGACTGGAGACCGCAGTGCCCTCGAAAGTGGCGACAGTGTCGCGGATCGCAGCCCCCCAAGGACGGCGAGGTCCCGCTCAGATCCCCGCGGTGCCTCACTCCGCAGGACCCACCAGCAGC